AATGGGTTTCCTTGTGGCATTTTCCAAAGTACTTAGTTTTGGTTGATCCCTCCAGTCCCACCTGCTCCTCTCTACCATGTCTGCTCTCCTTGAATCCTCCTCACTCCGGGATTCCCCTTTCCACTCTCATGCCACACATGTTCTATTAACCTCCCCATTCTCCTTCTTCCCATATCAAGGGTCCCTTTATAGTACCCTGGCATCTACACTCACTCCCACATAAATACACATAAAAAATAGATGCCGAGATTCATATATAAGAGAGATGTGTTTTTTGTGTTTTCTTGGTCTATTTCCTCACTTAATTTTCCAGTTCCATCCATTTTCCTTCAGATTTTATATTTTCTTTCTTCTTTGTCTGAATAAAATTCCATTGTGTATGTTGACCACAATTTCATTATTCATCTGTTGGTGGACATCTAAGCTAATTCCATTTCTTTGCTACTATGAACAGGGCAGCAATGAGTATGAATGTACACGTATATCTCTGTCATAGCATATACAGTCCTTTGGGTATAAACCCAGGAGAGGTAGTTATATTTTTGGATTTTTGATGAACATCCACACTGATTTCTGAAATGACCACACCAATTTATACTTCCATCAAAAATGAATAAGTTTCCTCTTTCCCTACATCCTCATCAGTATTTGTTGTCATTTGTTCCTTGATTGATAGCCATTCTGATTGGAGTGAAATGAAATCTCAAAGTAGTTTGTGTGCATTTCTCTAATGCATAAAGAGGTTGAATGATTTTTTAAATATTTGTTCATTTGTATTTCATCTTTTGAGAGCTGCATCATCAGTTCATTGGTCCATTTACTGATTGGCAATTTTGGGGTTTGGCGTGTTTAATTTTTTTCATTTCTTTATAGAGTCTATATATTAATTTCCTCCTGAAATGTAGCCGGCAAAGATTTTCTCCCATTATGTATGCTGTCTGTTCTTTCTGCTGTTAGTTTGCTTTGCTGTGCAAAAGCTTTTTAATTTCATGTTGTACTATTTATTACTTATTGGGGCTATTTTCTCTACTACAGGAAGCTCTATTCAGAAAGTTCTTTTCTATGCCTATATCTTGAAGATTTTCCTTGTATGGCAGTTTCAGCATTTCAAGTTTTAAACCAAGATCTTTCATCTACTTAGATTTATTTTGTTGTTGTTGTTGTTGTTGTTGTTGTTGTTATTATTGTTCAAGGTGAGAGACATGGCCCTAATTTCATTTTCTGCAAGTGGATTTCTGGTTTTGCCAGTACCATTATTGGACAGGCTGTCCTTTTTCCAGTATGTGTTTTTGAAAATATTTTATTACTTTTTATTTTATGAGTTTATTACCTGCATATATGTAAGTGTACCAATGGCATGTAGTACCCACAGAGGTCAGAAGAGGGAATCAAATACCCTTGGAACTAGAGCTACAGATGGTTGTTAGCCACCATGTGGGTGCTGTGAATTGAACTCAGGTCCTCAGGTGCTCTGCAAAAGCGGTCAGTGTTCTTAACTGCTGAGCCATCTCTCCAGCCCCACAGTGCATGTTTTGATACCTTTGCCAAAAAATCAAATGTCCATAGTTGTGTTTTCAATTCTCCTATATTCTATAAGTATAGTTGCTGGATTGATTCCATTCAGCTTTTTGTTTTCCCAAAGTAGCTGGACTGTTTGTGTTCATACCAGAAACATCTTGGGATTCTCCACATCTGCATCAACACTTGTTCATTCAGCTATTTTTAAAAACAATTCAATAATCCCCATAGATGTGACATGGAATGCTATTGTTACATTGATTTATACTTTCCTTTTCAATTTGAATAGACTTTATTTATTTATTTATTTAGTTAGTTAGTTAGTTAGTTAGTTAGTTAGTTTGCCTAATCACACCTATCTAAGACCTTCCATGCAGCATTGAATAGAAATAATAATAGTGAACATCCTTAATTTGCTCCTGATCTTAGTTGGAAAGTTTTGTCTTTATACTGAGTATGCCATTGGCATGCTTTTTGCATAAATTTTCTTTATCATATTTAGTACTTAAACATAAATTTGTAGTTATAAAATTCTATATTGCAATTTAAATGTTTCAAAAACAGTAAAAACAAACCCAAAGCAAGCAGAAACAAGGAAATAAAGGTAATATTGCCATAGATAAAATTGGTGCATTTTACACTTTTTTTAATAGCAAAGGATTGGTATTTCATGTATGTATGTAGTAGGTAGGTAAATAAATAGATAAATTCATAATGTTTAGTAGAATTTACTAATGAGGCCTTTTGATCTGGTCTTATAGTTGCTGTGAAAATTACAAGTAACATTTTAATCCAGAACAATCTATTTTAGATTAAAACCAACTCAATTTCAATCAAGAGATTAAAAACAACTACAAATAAAACACATTTATTTATCTGTTTGCCTGGATACTTTATTTTTTTATTTCCTGGGTTTTTTTTTTGTTTGTTTGTTTCTTCATAAGATTTGTATTGCTACCTAGTGTCCTTCCATTCAATGCAGAGAACTCTTTAGATTTCCTGTTTGCTAGAGATGAATTTCTTCCATTTTTAGTAATCTGAAAATGTATTGCTTTTTTAAAAAAAAGATAATTTTACTGTATTTAGAATTCCTAGTTGATAGGTTTTTCTCTAATTACAGCATTTTGAATATTCCATAGGCCTTCTTGGTTTCTTATGAAGAATTGTTCGTTTTATTAAAGCTCTTTTGTACACACCAAGTTGCTTTCCTCTAAAGCTGATTTTAAGATAGCGTTGACTTTTCATAGTTTCTTGATGATCTGCCTAGATGCTGATCTTCTTGTGTTTTTCCATCTTGTACTTTATTCAAACTCTTGGATTTGTGGTTCAATGTTTTGTCTTGGTTTTTGTTTGTTTGTTTTGCTTTGTTTTTACCATACTTGGGCAATATTCAGTTGTTATTTTTCAAACATTCTTTTTACCATTTTCTCTTTCCTCTCTCCTCCTGGGATACTTATTACACATTTGTTGGTATGTACACTAGTGTTCCATAGGTCTCTGAAGCTCTTTTCATTTTTCTTTATTCTTTACTGTCTATAGTTTAATATGAATAATTTTCATTGATCTATTTCTAGACTTCACTATCTCCTGCTTGCCTCGATCTACTATTAAATTCTTCTATTGGGTCTTCATTTATATTTTATTTCTCTACTCTATGATGTCCATTTTGCTTTTCAAAAAAATCATGCTGCCTCCTTACATTGATACTTTTACTTGGTGAAACAGTATTCTCATGTGTTCCTCTAGTTCATTCGATATGGTTTCCTTTGTTGTTTGAATGTATTTAAAATGGTGGATAAAGTCTTCAACTATTAAGTCTAATAGCTAAATCTCCTCAGAGTAGGTATTACTGATCGCTTTTACCCTATGTAAGAACTATACTCGTTGCATTCCTTATAATTCTTCCTTGTTTTTGTCAAAACTAGACATCTTATATGACATATAGCCATTCTGCATCTCAGATTCTGTCTCTTCCCAAGGGCTGCACATTGTTATTTAGTAATTTTTCTTAATTCATTCTATAAAATCTGCATTCTTTGTCATGGATGACCACTGATCAATCATGTGAGTTGGCTAAATAGTAACCTAATGATTGAACAAAGGCTTTTTTAAATGCCTGGGATGAATAAACCTCCCCCCTTTCCTGAGGGGCCTGATGTATGTGTTTCTGCATGGTTCAGCTCTCAGCCACGAAAGTTACAACTCTGCCTTGGTCTTCACTCTCGCTTTGCAATGCCTCAAATCAGCCAGAGACAAGAGCTTGGGGCCTTCCTAAATCTCCTGAGGAAACGTTTGAATCTGGGCATGTACATACCTACACGCCATATGACTGTCCAGCTTCCACGAAATGCGCTGGAGTTTCCTAATACTTACTCCTCAGCCTTCTCTTTTAGCATTTCTGGTTAGCCTGTTTTTGCCTCCACTATGAAATTAAATAATGGTACCTAAGAAATAAAATGATGGCTTTTAATTGTTCCAGCAAATGCTCCAAGAGAAATTTTCATACTGAACCATGTCAGGGAAGATCATATAATGACTGTAAATTTCTTTTAATCAATCATCAGATAGTTGAACTATGAAAATTTCCTGGGAATGAGTAAGGCTTTCAAGAAATTCCAGCATCCTCTGTTCCCTTATCATGTCTGCTAGGCTATTAGTTGTTGCTATAGTTACAGGTCGTTAATTTTCATGGTTACCCCAGAGGGAGGTAAGAGTGACAGTAGACAGGATTAGCGTAAACTAAATTCTGCAGAACTCAGTGTTCTCACCAAATTCCCAATTTGTTTTCTTCTTGAGAATCACTACAAAACTTCGATTTCCAGAATTCTTTTTAAAAAGCTTGCTTTTGACCATTTTTGCCAATTTCTCTTTGCTTTTATGGAGGAAAGAAACTTCTCCCTCATTAGAAGAAAAATGACAGGTACTTACTCGGTCATTTGTGCTACAATCACTAAGATATTTTTCAAAAGCACATTGCAGGGAACTGAAATAGTCTTTTGCTATCTCACAGAAGAACACAAGAAGATTGAGTTTATAAAGACACATAAGACCATAATAGAAAGAGGAGTCGATGGATGTCTAGGAACAGAGATCCATGTATTATTACTGTTACTGTCCATATTCTACTTCATGGCCTCTCTATTTTCTTACCTTAATTCACATTCTAAAGGTGTCAGAATGATCCATCCCCTCTCTTTAGACAGAACCTTCCACGTTAGGATGCCTGCTGGACTGCGACCCACCCTTTGGAGTACCTCCTTTTGTGTTGATTGCCCCATAGCTGTAGTGAGATCATATGATATAGTGCCTGACTGCCTAAGACTGTCCTGTAGGCAGAAAATGTGCAGATGAAGATTGCCTTGCGCAGGACTAGAGACTAGAGGAGCTAGATGTAATATGTAGTTTTCTGTATGTGGCATGTGATGTTTTTGTTGTATACAATGGTGACAGAAAAATTATGACCAATGCTTATTTTATTTCAGTGGAAGATATAATCCAGTTAATCAGAAGATAATGAATGCTAAGAAAGGACCAGTAAAAAAGATTTCAAGATCAAACCACCTTCCAAAACTCAATCCGTGATTCCAGAGCTGGGTGGATTTCTGTGTATCCCATCTTTTTCCTCATCCACAATCTTCAGTTTATGAAGTTGATGCTCAGCACATTTCTCGGGAATTGAAATAGATAAGAAGAGCTGCCAAACTTCTTTAGTTCTTCTTTGAAAAGTTGATGTCTCTGTCTGCATAAAAGTCATATATCTCCAGTGACTCTAAATATCCAATAGAAATGCTTGTAGTTTTAAAAATATCTTAGGAAACCTGGAGGTTGTCATCATTACACTCATTTTCAACAGTATATTTATGATCTGCTCTGATAGTAACATTACTATTATATTGGGTTTCTAAGTTGGCCATTAGCTATAATTTTATAAAACCTTCGTTATTTTAGTTATATCATGCTTGGCTCAGCTACTTAAACTCAAGGTTTCAACATAGTTGCAAGTCAAATGCATACTAAATTTTGACTGAAATACCCTGAATAACTTTCAGCCATGAGTTAAGTTGTCTGTAGTGTCCCTTTACCCCCTGCTACCATTAACCTAGATGATCTTGGGCAAAACATTTCACTTTGTTTTCATTTCCCACACCTATAAAATGACCTCAGTAAATGATATGATAGCTAAGGTTTCTTACCATTCTAGAAGGCCAATGCTTATTCACACAAAAGGTCCTGCCACTAAGCATTTGCTGTGAATGTCATATTATGATATTTATTAACTCATAATAATGATGGGTCTAATTCTTTGTATCAAACTTTGCAAGTGTTCAGCATACTGAAGTCTAAAAGTAGAGATTCAGTGAGGATGGTTAAAAAATTTTAGGCACTATAAGCTCTATTGACTTTGACTATGTTTAGACTGTTTTGTTCATTTAGATGGTTTTTGTAACTGTGACCTAAGTCTGGAACATCCTTATAACTTATTTTCCTCTTTTAATACATAAAATTATTGGACTTTAAATTTCCAAAAGTCACTCACAAGTATGTGTATGTGTTTTTATGAAATGCTGTTTTCACTTGTATCTGATACTAAATTTAAGTTCTATTTAGTATCACTAGTAATGAATACCAAATCTATTTCTATAATTAACTCTATAGATGTTTACTTTCTTTAAGAAAAAATACATAAGTTAAATATAGCCAATTAATTTTTATGCAACTTCAAATTTTAATGCAGAAAAATATCGTCTTTTTCCCTTAAATTATTATGCAATGAAACTATTTGGAATACCACAGTGGACATTATTAATTAGACAAATACTAGATTTTTTGTCTTTCCCCATGCTTACTGACATTAGCAGAAAATTAGTAATTTAAATATTGTAGCAATTAAAACTTTCAATGAAAAAATAAGCATTTTTTTTTCATACAGAGCTAAGATATTATGGGGATTATAGGGAAGAACTTTCAACATTATCTCAGTTTCTGGGATGGAAAATATCTTAGCACAGGGACTCTGACCACATTGAAGTGTTAATTTTGCAGAAATTATTTGGGGTTACTTTCCAGATGTCAAGAAATGTCCGTTTTGAACAGAGCAGTGGTGTGTTGGTAGGATAGTTTATATAAAGAACTGAAATGGGGTATATCATGGTTGAAATATAGATTGCCCCCATAGGTTCATGTGTTTGAACACTTGGTCCCCAGGTGGTGACGCTGTTTTGGAAGGTTGTGGAACTTTTAAGAAGTGGGGCATTGCTGGAGGAAGTGGGAAACTGGGGGTTGGTCTTGGGGTTTTATAGCCAGGCTTCACTTCCTGTTCACTCTTTTTGCTGACTGTTGATGTAATGTGTTCAGTCAGTTTCCAGGCCTGCTGCCATGCCATCCTGTCATAATAGAATGTATTCCCTTGAACTGTAAGCCAAAATAAACCTTTCTTTCCTTTAATTGCTGCTTGTCAGGTATTTTGTCACAGCATAAGAAAAGTAACTAATCCAGGGGACTCTAAGAGCTTTGTTCAAATACCAGTTTTGTTACTTCTGGGCTTCTGACTTTGTCTAAATCACTTTTCATTGCCTCTGTTTCTTCATTTTAGGGTTGAAAATGTTCCCCCTAACTCAGCCACATAGGATTACTGTGATGATAGAGTGTCAAATATTTGTTTGTTTAGTTCTTTATGACCTGCCTTCCTCTTAAGAGGATATAAGTTAGCTTTCACTAAATATAGCAGTATGCAAATAACGTCTACAAAATAGAAAATAAAAATAAAGGGTGACATGAAACGAATTCCCAACTAAGGAAAGCTCTAGATAAAATCTTTTAGGAGTCAATGCAGAAAATAAATGAGTTATTCTCTAGAAGGAATATTCAAACAGAGAAAAGGTTCAAAAGAATCTAAAGGTAATTTGTCATTCAAAACATCATAATAAATTGTAATTGTAATAACCAGAGTAAAAATGACAGCATCTTTATTTTATGTGATATTTAATTTTGTGTTGATAGCAGTATTTGTTTAATTGGAAAATTCAGAATTCATAAAAATATCAATAAAAGTACAAATAAAATTTGTGTATTTCAAATTTCAATATTTAATGTTAATTAGAAATAGTTAAAGCATAATTAATTCTTTTCCAAATTTAAAATACCTAAATATATCACAAAATGTTAAGTTAGAACTTACTAAAAATAAGAGTTACGTGAATGAAAAGATCATGAGTTCTAACAAGGATGTAGATAAATTGGAGCCCTCCTGTTAGAACCCTCATATCTTGAAGGTGGAAATGTAAAAAAGTAAAGTCACACTGGAAAGTTGTTCTTCAGAAGGTTAAATATAGAGTTAACATGTGATGGAGTGGGATTATTTCTGTGTATGTGTGAGAGGAATAGAAGCATATTTATATAAGAACGTGCACACTGATGTTTTCATCACCATTATTCACAAGAGCTTAAAGTGAAGACAACCCCAATGTCATCCTTGAATGGATGGATAAGCAAAATGTGGAATAGCCAAACTATGGGTTTTATTTGTCAATACAAGGGAATGAAGTACTTAACTATGCTATGGTGTGGACAAACCAGGAAAACAGCACCCTAAATGAAAAAAAAATCCAATCCAGATATTGTGTAATTCCAGTTATAGACCCTGTTTAGAATAAGCAAATCCACAGAGAGCAGATTAGTCTTTATCTAGGGCTGAGGGACAGCTCAGGAATAGGGAGGGTGGTATTAATGGATGCAGGGCTGCTTTTGAGGGTGTTGAAAATGTCTTAAAATGAATTGTGGTAACAGTTTCACAATTCTATGAATACACTAAAAATAATTGAATTGTATATTTAAAATGGGTTTGATTACATTTTGTGATTTATACATCAACAAGGTTATTATAAAAGTGCTAAACACGAGCTGTGGAGATGACTCAGTAGGTCAAGTGCTTGCTATGCAAGCATGAAGACCTGAGTTCAAAACCCCAGAACACAAGAAATGCCAGTAGCAGTAGCACATTTCTGTCTTCCCAGAGCTCCTAAGGCAAGATGGGAGGTGGAGACAGAAGGTTCCCCAAAAGCTCATGGACCAGCTATCCTGGTGTATGCAGTAGTAATGACAAAGAGACCCTGTCTCAAGATGGAAGATGACCGACTCACCTGAGGTTGTCCTCAGACTTCCACGTGCATGCTGTGGTCACCTGTCCACATTCACACACACAAATGCACAGACACATAGTTATCAACACTTATTAATGAAATATCATTTGATCTTTCTCCAAAAACACGATCTTAAAAATCTAAATGCATCATTAATGCAATGACTGATTTAAGAGCAGAAAAGAGAATTTCCAAACTAAGAAGCGTTTCCAACTACTGTACCAGTCAGAACAATAATGAATAGATAACCAATTACCAAGTTTTTTCCTTTGACTTCTTTATCTGAATATTCCATCTCTTGCTTAATAATATTCTGGAGATATTTATAAGGCACTGCATAGTTTTGTTTCAAAATAATGAGTTAAGCTTTTTAAAGTCATCTTCCTTAGCTCCATCATGTACACCTGGAATTCTCTAGTAGAATTATCTATATTCATTTTTGTATTCATATACTCATACTTGAATGACTTTCCTGGAGACGCGTGAATAATTGTGCATCCCAAACTGGGTACCAAGAACAAGACACAGTAATGATTCTACTGTAGTCTATCATGATGAATCAGTGAGTTCGTTGGGGTTTGTGACAGTAGCATGAGTGACTAGGCAGCTGCATCTCTGAAGAGCCCGCCCCAGTGAGTGACAGCTTACAAAAGCTGCATTGCTCAAACTCCCTGAGTACCTTGCAGACATCTTCATCACAGAAGAGTCTCTTCTCTCTTGTCAGTTGTTTATTGCTTATATAAACTTGAGCAGAGGCCTAGGGAGACGCTTAACTTTTAGTGTTTCATGAGTCTCCCCACTTCTCTCCATAAGGGAATGTTTCAATTAGAAGGAAATAGCTACACAAGAATAACCCACTGTACCCGAAATCCTTCTGGAGAGACTAAGAGCTATTCTTGCAACAAGTTTATAAATAACTCTATTTGGTTTCATTTTGCTGTATACATAATTGTGAACCTATATAGACATATAGACCAAATACTGCCTTTTTCATAAATTAATTGACTTACAGATCAGCATTTAGTATATAAATTATATCTCTGATTCTAAAATACCAGAAGAATTCTAAAAAGGTATGCTGGGATTGGGGTATTTAAAAAGAGAAGCTCATACCAATCTATTAGTGCCAGCATATTAAAAACTGGGGGCAGGGTATGGTGGCGCACGCCTTTAATCCCAGCACTCGGGAGGCAGAGGCAGGCAAATCTCTGTGAGTTCAAGGCCAGCCTGGTCTACATAGTGAGTTCCAGGACAGCTGGGGCTATAGGGAGACCCTGTCTCAAAAAGAACAACAACAAAAAACAAACAAACAAAAAACTGTTACTAAAATTACTGAGCATGATTGAGAAATTTATTAAAGATTTATTTTTATCTTTTATTTGTAAGGGTGTGTGTGTGTGTGTGTGTGTGTGTGTGTGTGTGTGTGTCTGTTTATGCCACGTGTGCAGGTGCCCATGGAAGCCAGAAGGGGATTGGATCTCTTGGAGTTCATAGTTGTGAAAAGGGGTTCTGGGAACCAAACTTGAGTGCTCTGGAAGAGCAGCAATCACTCTGAACTGCTAAGCTATCTCTCCAACCCTATGACGGAGATATTTAAAAGGAATTTCAGGGGCTGGAGAGATGGCTCAGCGGTTAAGAGCACTGACTGCTCCTGCAGAGGACCTGGGTTCGATTCCCAGCACCCATATGGCAGCTACGAACCATCCTTGACTCCAGTTCCAGGGAAATCCGAAGCCCTCTTCTGACCTCCGCAGAATTGCATGACATAGGTGCATTCACATACATGCAGACAATACATTCATACACATAAAATAAAAATAATAAATAAAATATTATGACTGGAAGACTCAGCAGGTAGGAGTGTCTGCCACCAAGCCTAATGGACCTGAGTTCCATCTCTTGGACCCACATGATGGAATGAGAGAACCAACTCCTGAAAGTTGTCCTCTGACCACACACATGCTGTGGGACATGCATGCACACACAAAATAAGTACATACATAAATAAATGATACATAATAAAATGTTTAACATCTTTAAAATATTAAGTCACTATATGTAAGATCATTTTTTAACAATAGGGAATTATTTTTATAACAAGATAATATCCAATTAATCTGACCTGTAATTTAGATTACCGTTTATTCAGAGAAAGTATAGAG